TTCAAATTAACGTGTTTATTGTTTTGTATATGTATACGCAACAATCTATAATCTTCTTAAAAGCATTTAATAATCTTACATTCCAACAATATTACAGTCTTATTTAAATGCTATAATTGTCACTTCAAGAATACATATAATTATTTTGACAATAAAATCATTTTAATCGTTATAAACTTCGATTTGAAAATATGCTATTTTCTATCCAATATTGTTTTCTGTCCATTCAAGAAAATTATTCTTAAATAATAAGCATATATTTTTCTCGATTGAATTATATAAAATTTCTTGTTCAGACGTAATATTATCTCATTTTAAGATTTTCACGTTGAAACTAAAGATATTTTCAAAAGAAAAATTTTATTTTTTTCTGTGCGGTATCAATTTGGAGTCAAAGAGTTTTCATAAGTTCAGTCAACGACTCAACACTTTTAAGGGGATCCTACAGCTGTCTGTTTTATCGACATTCTTTGTTAGAAGTAATCTTTTAATTGGCTTTATAGACATGCAAAACTCTTTTACGGAATTAAAATACGCAGCGAAATCTAAACTATGCTGGTTGATTTTATATAAAAAACAAAAAATTTTTTAATTTTACTAATTTTTAGTACACTCGACGACAATATTTGCTTGATACAAGAATTCTACAATAAATGCAATGTATACAAAATGACACCAGTATACTCTAGGGACAATATATAAGAACAATGTCGTGCAATTAAAACTAAGATTAATAGCCTAGAAAAAGTTTACTTCTAATAAACACACCCATACAGCACAGAAAGATTGAAGGAAGATTGCAGAAATGTTACATTGCAAGATTGCAATATTGCAGCAACGTTGCGCAACATTGCTGCAACGTTTCTGGAGGATTGCAGCAACGTTGAAATGTCTGCCCTCAGAGAGATTGCAGTGCAACATTATAGCAATGTTGCAGTGCAATATTTTTGGAATAATTTGTTGTTGTACATAAGCAGAGAACTTACTAATTACATATGCATCCGGGCCTTTTTTAATACACAGCAAGCTATTGCGAAGCAACCTAAGGAGATTATGTCGCTTCGCAATAGATGGAGATTGCGAGCAACACCGCACTGATCAAGTACTTAATAATTCGCGCATGGTAATCAACGAAAATAACATTATAAAATTCTCGTAATTAGAAACATTTTTTAAATAGAAAATATAGTATTTTTATTATTTTTGAAACATTGCTGCAATATTGCTATCGAAAGTTTGAAATTTTATGTCCCTGCAATGTCTCTGCAAGATTGCAACGTTTCTGCAATGTAACTGCAACCATCTGTGCTGTATGGGCAAGTCCAGAAATCCAAGTCTAGAAGAAGAGAAAAAGAGCAGTATGGCGTGTAGAAATATTAGTTGCAGGCTTTTTCGAAAGTGGTCGCTGCCAATCATCTGCCAGATTATCAGTAAAGCCATGGTGTTGACGATGCTAGTATTCGATTCAAAATCTCAGTCTGAGCAATGTGCAGCTAATAAAATTGCTGCTTTTTCGTAAAAGTTGAAAATTGATTGGCTATAAATTCCTCGGACCGAATTCACCGAAAACACCGGTCTGAGGTGACATTTAAAGTAGAACTTGGAATTAAAAATGTCGATAATTGACGTTTTTAATTCCGTCTCCTATCTTATCGACACTGATCGAGTTTGCCAGCGGCTTTAGGATCCCTTTAAAAGTTTCTCCGTTTGCTCTTTCTGAAACGGCCGATTCAATTGCAGATGCACATATCCCGTGCAGTAATACGCTCGATTGTAGGAGCACGGAGCGACTTCCGATGGACGCTTTTTGCAAAGACGGATATTGCATGTGCCCGAAAGTAGACACTGACATTCAAGCTTGCTCTAGCATCAATGCATCTCTGCACGAGACTAAAATTTCAGGTGATACGATCGGGAACGCGACTCGAGTGTATGAGAGATCCTGTTCCATTTGCCGAATTTTCTGAATAAGACCCCGATGTCTATGAAGTAATTCCTTTTTAGGTCCACTGCTTTATCGAATATGCAAGCACGATCAACACTGCAACTTCCTGGGCGGGAAATGCAACAATAGTAATAGTCAGTGCGTCTGTTCACAAAATTACGTGCCGTCAAGCAACAAACAACAGTGCGTCCCACGTAAGTGTGGAGAGATACGAAAATTATTTTACAAACGTTGTCTAGTCGAAAGCGAGAGCGATGATTAGGAATTTTTTTTAGTTTCAATATAATTTAACGTTTCTTGAATCATCATTACTTGTAATTATTTATTTCTAGTAGTTCTAATAATCAATTCTAACGCTTATACGATTTCTTTAAACAGGGATCACTTCGTTCGAGGCTTCTTGCACAGATAAAAATCAATGTATAGCGTTCTCGGGGAACGCTACTTGTGAGAATAATACATGCGTTTGTCTATCTGGCTATCATTACGTAGACAACGCATGCTGGAAAACAGTCGGTAAGTGTTATAATAATGTCTATTTTTCACAGACTAACATATTGTGTAAGGAAAATAAAAAATTTGCATGTTTTCCTTACAATCTGAATAAAATTCCTTGCTCTCGTTGATTCAAGCAATCAATAAAATATTATTAAGAAACTTTTTTTTTATCTCGGTATAAATGAAAGGATTAATTCAACCGGTAGGAATTGTTTCCAATAAAAATGTTAACTTCTTAACTTACTGTCCCTAATATTCTTCTCAAAATGTAATAAAAAATAACAATATTTTCTATAATAAAATTAACAATTTTATCTATGCTAACAAAAGGTATTACTTGATGAATTATAGTATAAGAAACTAGAAAATTGAGAAGAAATAGCACCTCAACTAATACAATGTAAGACAATGTTACGGTGAGAAAAATAAATAAGTTTGCGTAAACTAAGAAATATGGTAATAATAATGCAAAATTATTGTATTAATGAAAAATATATTACTAATACAAAAGGTGTATCACAGTACCATTGTGGCATTAATCATTTTTTTAGAAACAAATATTTGTTGAATTTACATATGATATATTGTCGTGTTTATAAGATCTAAATATTATGCTTTTTCATTAACAGTTCGTGCAACTGAAAGATATAATCTTTAACAAACCGCTACATCGACATAATTCGACTAACAATTTTTATACTGTTATTGTACAAATATTATTAAACTTACACCACATTTCTTATTCTGGTTATCTTTTTATAATGTATACTATTTTTTTCACGACTTTGGAAAACCATTTGCAAATGTTTTCTTGGGAAAATATACCTTAGAAAACCTTAACATTGTAACAAATTAATAAAATTCATATGGCTCAAATGTGATAAACACAAATTTGAAGGAATAAAGGACTAAGATCCGTGTCAAGGTGTTAGTGTCTAAATATTTTATTCTAAATTTATTGTGAAAAAAACATTGACATTTTACTTTAGAAAAATACGAATTATGAAAAGTGAATTTGAACATTTTAAACATTTATTTAAGGTAACTCTAAGAATTATAAAAGGTATGTGATATACTTTATAATACCGCGTGTGGTTTTCTTCTTACGAGAAAGTGCTATGCCGCGCGGCTCTCTAGAACTTCGACAGGCTTGGCTATCTAAAAATTACTTTAAGTGTCCAAAATTACTCTAAAATTTCTCAAGTAAACTTTTAACTTCTTTAAGTAAACCCTTAGATTTAAAAGATTACTTTTAAAGACTTTAATTTAATTTAAAGCAAATGTTCCGAAGGGTACACAAGGCGTCATTAATGCCTAGTCATCTGAAGTTGCACGCGGATCGAGGTACGTTTGAAAAGCGTGCGATTTTCCAATTCTTCGTGCGTCACGACTAGGGAAACAGCGAATCAGCATTGCCAGTTTCAATGTCATAATACACGAAGAGTTAGAAAGTCGCACGCTTTTCAAACGTACCTCGATCCGCGTGCACACTTTGGCACCGTTCTAACCAAGAAACTATCAGTTCGCGGAAACACTTGTGTAATATACAAATTAAATGACTTACGTGTACAGATCGAAAGCAACTTGCTATTCCGGCTAAATGAAAGAACAATATGGCATCACTGAAACTAAGTTTGTAAGTCTAATAAGAAATAATAGTGAGCGACACACACATACAGTACATGTGTGACGTCATTATGACATTATCATGATTTTATTCAACATTTAAAAGTTTTCTAGATATGTCCAGATAACTTTTATGTGATAAATAAAATTGTGATAGTCATAATGACGTCATTATGAGTTTTATGTTCTATCTGGGTATCATATTACGAATAGTCAAACTAATGTCAAAATTATGTCACGATTTTGACATCAAGAAAGCATCAAAAATTTATGCAACTTGACATCATTTTGACGAACTAAAATTTGATTATATTTTGACATCATTTTGACTTTTTTGTTCTCCTTGGGGTGTTGCTCACTATTAATTTTTATTAGACTTACAAATTTAGTTTCAGTGATGCCATATTGCTTTTTAATTTATTGTTAGCCGGAATAGCAAGCTGCTTTCGATCTGTACACGTGAGCCATTTAATTTGTATATTACACAAATGTTTCCACGAAACAGACAGCTTTAGGTGCAAAAGGTGCAAAAGTGCAGAATCACTCTAGCATCCCTTTAATAACACTCCCTGTATACCGTGTATTTAAAGTAAATTTTCCCAAGAGTTGCATTCTAATTGTTAACATTATTTGATTTTCTCCGAGTGTAATCATGTTTGCAGAGTACAATCAGCAGTGCACGAAAACTCAGGAGTGCTCGCACATCGAGGGTAGTATCTGCACGGACAACATGACATGCAGATGCGCGGCGGAAACAGTGCTAAGTACGGACGGCAAGAGGTGTTTGGCGGCCGCCAGGAAGATTCAAGACGAATGCACGGAGTCGGTACAGTGCACAGCGACGTTCGATTTCTCCACTTGCGTCGATAAGATGTGCCAGTGCGGGCAGAATTTTCATTACGAACACGAGATGACGAGATGTTTCCCCAATAAAGGTACTAGCGAATTCTTCATCCGACCGTTCTTCCAGGAAATCATCTAAAAACTAACCGTTTTCTACGTTTGGCAGCGGTCGGCGATGATTGCGTGAATAATTACGAGTGTTATCAGGCTGAAGATTACGAGAACGATCGGCCGAACAAGCCTATGTTGTGCAGGTTTAACAAATGCACTTGCGCCGACAATTATATCTTGAACAAGAACGAGTGTGTCAGCACCGGTAAGTAGAAAGCGATGTATTTGACATGCATATCTTATGTAAAACGAAAAAATTAATAATTATTTGCTCTGAAGATGCACCTCGAGTTTATTCTCTTTTATTCGCTAATTCTCGCTTAACGCCTTTTACATTTGCAGGCTCGTCCTTCGTCGCGTCCTTTGCGGCAATAATCATCCTTGCGATGGCGCTGACTTTCTTTTCATAAAGAACAAAGTTTGATTTCTTTGAAGAGGCTTGATAGATACTCGATAAGTTATTTTAAGTTAAGGAGTTGAATTTTCAATAATTATAATATCGTGCAACCACAATAGAAACTTAATATCATAGAGGAAGGAACGCAAGTACGACTGGCTCGGCTGAAAAGGCAATCATTCTCGGATTATTTACTTGAGAATTAGAATTGTTTATGCTACCGTTTACTCGAGACTTTTCTCGAGGTTTTCCACGAACTTGGCGAATTTCTCACGAGTAATCAAAATATAAACGCACCGGTCTTAGCCAAATGGTGCCACGCAATTCAAACTATATGCAATCAAAGAACCTACTCTATAGGTAAATGTGTGTGCGCGTGCGTGTTTGTGGAACTGTGTGATGACTGTTCGAGAGTGAGAAAGAGAAATAGGAGGGAGAGGGGGAGAGAGAGAGAGAGAGGGAGGGAGGGAGGGAGAGCGCAAGTTAAACCTGATCGCAAACTTCGACGATAAATTGCAATTTTATTGCACATATGGATGTATTTGAATGATCGAACTTGCGGTTTATCTGTAATATACTCAAATGTACAAATTGTACTTGTAATATTTATGTAACACTTATATTTAAACGACAGAGTTGAAACGATAGAGCGGATAATGGCGAGGTCTCTTTGGGTGCATAAAAATCGGCCGTGTTCGTCACTTTTATTCTCGTCGTTAATTGCCAAGGTTGCAGCGTTACAATTTTCCGTAACAATTGCGTGAAACCGGATGTGAAGGAAAAAAACGAGCAGCGTAGAAAAATGAAACGATATCAAACGCTGTTGTAACTGCGCAACAAAATACTCGCGGCGAAGGCGACGACCAGCGACGACTGAGGCTCGAACCGAGGCGCAACGACGTTGTTTAAAGCCTTCCACTCGCGTGCATTTAATTAACGCGGTTATTAATATGCGGATGTTGATGTGTTCCATAGTGCTAGTGTTTCTTAAAGCGATGCAAACTGGGTAGAATTCACGGATGCAAAAGAGAAAATTTATAGTTAGTCGTTTGAAAATTCTTATTTTTGCGTGCGCTCCCCTTTTCAGGTCAATCCACAGACACGATGACCAAATAATCCTTTATTTTGCGCTACTTTTGCGATTGTTTAATGAAAAATAAGATATAGCAAGCAACAATGGCGTTTATTTCTTTTCAATATTTATTGCTCCAAGCTTATACGTACACGTTATCTGTGGCGCGGTTTTAAAAGAGCAAATATCAAATTTTCAAAGCGTATTGTATATGTATACACGTATTGCACAATGTATAAATTTTATATTTATGTACTTAAATAGATAGCTTCGAAATTTTGATGTGTGCTCTTTCAGAATCGATGTTGAACGTTGGCATTTCTCTGCGTTCATCTAATATAGTATCGATCTTTTGTACTATTTTAATGAAAATATCATTTCAATGAAAATTAGCTTTCAGCAAATCTTTTATTATAAAACTACATATACATAATATTATATTTTATACGTTATATTGCAGCGATCATATATGTATATATTAATATAACGCGCGGTTTCTTGTATACATTTCTTATACGAATAAAATAATTATGTAATGTGCGATTTCGTAAATATATTTCTTATACCAACGAAACGATTCTATTTGTCTTTTATATTCGAATCTTGCTCTCATTCGCATAAATAGCTAATATTGTTATGCATAAACACACACACACACACACGCACGCACGCACACGTACACGCACACGCACACGCACACGCACACGCACACGCACACGCACACAAGCATACATACATGTATCGTTAAATTTGCAGAATACGATAATTATTAGTACAATTATACGATTCTGTCTCTTTTCCGTCTCTACTAATACGATAAAATATATAATACGTACAACAAAATATTTTATTATAAAATTATATAATATAATATTATACATATAAAATATTGTATTTTGTATATTATATTATGGTAATATCATATGTTATAACATGTCGTTTCTTAAGCCTACATTTCTTGCGTTAGCTTTTGTTAACTAATAATAATTACTCGCGTAGAATGTATTTTATACCCCAACGTACGTTGTATCTCAATTTTCATTGTTCTCTTTGAAGATTTACAATTGAAACAGTTAGTAATATTTTTAATGTTTTCCAGGTAAACACAAGTGCAAAAGTTCTTCGTTCATTGTGAAACAACTTGTGCAGAATTCGATTGATTAATAAGTTCTATACTGTAAATTTAACAAATTTCCTGAAACTAGAGTGTATTTTATACCTCACGCGAATAACAACCCTAGTAGCACAGTGCATTGAACAAACATTGGTTAAACATTGGTTCAATATTTGGTTGTGTTGGGCCAACGTTTAGCCAATGCACTGTGCTACTAGGGATAGAGCTAAATATATCTCTGTAGCGATATTGTTCATTTATTACATTCGTATAAATCGTTTCTCAAATAAATCGTTAACTATATTTTGTATATGCATATATCATTAAATTTGTAGAATATAATAATTGTGAATGCTATATTTCCACTACTCCTAAGATAAAATATGTGATATAATAATAATAATTAAATAAATCATATCACATGTTATATGTATATTGTATATACAAAACGGCAGAGTAAGTTGAGCTTTTGTCCCGTCTATTATAAAGCTACTATCTATGCTAAAAACACACTTTCTACTGAAAATTCCAAAAAGAAAAATTAGCGAGACTCCTACTATCTATTTTTTTAAATCCTGAACCTTTCTTTTAACACCCTGTATAGTTTGTTTGTCATCAACGCTAAATGTAATGACTTTGTCAGTTGTTGTCACGCTTATATTATGACAGCAACACATGTCCACTGCTTCAGTTTTCGATGATTTCTCGAGGTAAAAGGTATGCGGTTATACATACAGTATATTTCTATTATTAAAAACTTATTGTGATGAGATATTTTAACTACAGTTAATTGCTTTAATAATAAGTAAGTCATTATGAATACAATATACTTAAAATGTGTCTTGCTTCGAAAATTTAGTACAATCATGTACAAAGCATGATTTCAAAGAACGAGTTTACAAACATTCTCGTGTTTCGTCCATATCACTTTTCAAGGTTAACAATAATTTCGCTTGAAATTGAAATATGTACTAGCAACGTTATTTCAACTTTTCTTATAAATTGTTCATATTATATCACTTAGCTTAAATAATTTAAAAATCGAATATTTATAAAATCGAGAAAGATGCTAATATTTGTTCGTTAAAATATATTTCGCGATAATTAAAAACTATAAAGGTAGATAGTATATGGAAAATACCTAATGTATGTACATACATATACAATATTCAATGCAGGACCAAGCAAAAATATTTTTATAAAATATTTATTTAATAAAAGTAGCAATAGTAAAATTTCTTCATAAAATAAACATTTTGTACAGATATTTGTTAGTAGCATTTAACCAATAAACATTTTATAATTAATTGAAAATTGTTACATAAAGCAAGAAATTAAAGATAGTGGTTAATGATAGTCGATGTACATGTCTTCGACGATGTATGTATGTCTTTCGTGTCTTCCTCGTTTCATACATATAGTAAATGAAATCGACATCTGAATATTATATATCTTAACTATCCTTGTCATTAATTACCTAGCGGAAATGATGCTTTGATATGAAAATCAAATAAGAAACGAGAACGCCAAAAATTATTGGGCTACCTATATCTTGCCCAAACCTAAAAATTAGCGTATTCTTATTCGATATGAAAATTTGATTGAGAATTACATCTCATTCTGACTACAACAATGATAGAAGAATCCTTAAACTACATTTCATACAAATTTGTTTTTTAGAAGAAAATAAAACAAAAGGAGAATTTAACAGTACACCTAATTTTCTGCTAAAATTTTAACAGATACATACATTTGTTGTGCCTCTCGACGCAGTCGGGGCACGGGATGTGATTCGGGATCGTTTGCCGGGTTCACACAACGACTCTAGGTCGACGATTCAACAACCGTTTAAATAAAAGACTTCTTTATTCAGAACTAGTATAATTCTTGCACTCGCGTTAACAGCAGTTAACCGTATCGTTACTTAGTTTAGATTGACCCGCCTTCCTTCCTTTCCATTCCTTTTTATATCAATCGCGCTTGGCCCTGTTGTCAGGCCACTTATTGTTTAATAAGCAGTTGTTCTCTTAGCAACTGTATGCACGGCTTCGATGGATTCGTACTTTGCTCCGGATACTCGTTTTCGTCGCATGCGGCAGGTGTTATCTGATACCTTGCCGCGTGCGAAGTCGTCGTCTGATGTGCGGTATATCGCACTCATGACACATTTATAATCACAATTTTTTGTATCGTCAATCTTGTCAAGATATCGTCGAGATCGAGATCAAGATCGTGATTGCAGAAATCTCGTCTTGTTTTGTTTCGTGCGCACCTCTTGTACTTACTCCCCCTCGCTCGCGACCCTGGCTGCTGATGCTATTCGGCAGGGGCGAGCGGAAAGAAGCACATCGTCAGACAGCGCGTCCGCCAGGAAGACGTCGCATATTATAGTGCCCGAGTAGGATATCGGAAGCAGGTAGCATTTTGTCAGGGCGTGCCCGAGGTTCGTAAAGGGCCTATACAGGCATGCCCTAAAATAGGCCAGGCAATGTAGGGCCCAGATAGGCATGCTCTAAAATAAGCTTGCCATCGTTGGGCCTAGATAGGTCCTACTAAGGTAAATTCTTAGTGGAATTTCCTGAACGGGCCCTGAGTAGGCACTGACGTAAATACCCCTAACAAGGCATGCCGTCGTTGGGCCTAGACAGGTCCAACAAAGAAAAATTTCAAGTGGAATTTTCTA